GATGGCCTCCACCCTAGTAGCGATGGCCTCCACCCTAGTGACGATGGCCTCCAACCTAGTAGGGATGGCCTCTCATATAACCAGGTGTGCATTGTCACCAAAAGGAGACCGAAATCACTTCCAGGGTGAACCCCTGCTACAGAGGGACCACAAAAAACCAAAGACATCACCACTCCGTGGGTGGTCGGAACATCGTCGATGTTAGACGAACATAGGGGTCCATGGGAGCGTCTGCAAATGGGGTGGGCCCAAGTCATGTAGATTCTTGATGAATGATCCCACCCCACTCTACATGGCTGTGCATAGCACCCAACCCCAGAAAACCTTGACCATGTCTAGGTCGTCTATTCTGTTCATGTCTCGGTGACCCAAATCTACGACTGTTCATTGAACAGTCATGTCTTCTTACCTGCAGGTCTAGGTCGTCTATTCTGTCAGAAAACGGCATTGGGCATGTATGATTCGGTGCACGGCACTGTTTGCGTCCTCGCCGAAGGGACGGGGTGGTTGACACCCCCCTTCACCTTCGACCCGAGGGACCCTGGCGTCATCGGCAGCATCCGGCTCCTTCCTAGACCCGCATTCCTCTGAAAACGGATGGTGGATGGGTATAGGGAAAACGGAGGTTGCTAAAGAAAAAACATGATCCATCTTCAACATGATCTCCAACTTTGGTTTTCCTATGCCTGGAGCTCTAACTGTGCAAAATGTCTGCTGAACGTGGCTGGTGTTTGGTCGAAAAAGGCAGACATGTTGCACAGTTGGATCCTCTTCCATGGGTACCATCGCTGAATGAGCAAATGGCTTCTGACACCTCCCAGCACGCATGAATCAAGGCTACAAATTTCAAGGTTGCTCCTTGCTATTCATTGAAACTGGGATTTAACAAGCATCTGTCTTTCTTATGACTTGTTAGTCCCCGTGTTTCACCGTCCAAATTCAGACATCTCTATATGCTGCGGTCAGCCTTCGCTGGTACAATCAATCGCTCCCCAGCCCTTTGAAATAAACGCTCTTGGGCGCTTTGTCTTGGGGCCCAGGCTTGCTTTGACTGGGCGTGTAAGCCAAGCTGGACAGAGTCAACCAGGCCTCGGGGCACCAGATCGCTCAGCGAAAGAGGCGGAGGAGCCCGACTGCGGGGTGTGGTTCATGGACACCCCAGGAAGCACTGCTTTCGGAGGCTATAGATAGACACCCGACTGGAAGGGTCCAGATATGCAATAGAAGGCCTGCCCAACCCATGCTAGGGCAGGCTTGACGAGCTTTGGAAGTCCACCGTTGTATGTTCTTCTCGTTGGGGTCGTCTCAGCCCGCATCCCAACGGGAGAACAAACGCCTCGCGAACGGTGGGGTCGGGGCGAACCACACCACGCGGCAGCCGCTCCCATGCACCCCTTTCCATGCTCGTTCAGGCTCTTCTCCGGCCAACTTCTTCCATCAGTTTCAATCTTCCTTTGGGTCGGCTAGTGTATCAATCTACGCGTACGCTAGGATGAATATCCTGACCTCCTGTGTCATGAACATCATGATTATCAAACGTTGGACGTTCTACGTTTTGTGTTCTTTTGTTTTCTCATATGATTCCCTGGACGCTTGGTCGTGCATGTTCTCCCATTGGCACGGGCAAGTCTTTGGGTCTCACCATTCCAAAGACTCTCCAACGAAGGTCAGACTCTGTGCTGAAAAAAAAGATGTATACAATAATACAATGTGTTAATATATGTTGTTCTATTACTATTATACGACTATTAATTGTCTATATGTATTCATATAGTATATGCTATATGGTGTATGTTAAATATGTTGAATTAATATGTGTACATAAGTTTAGCCTATGGTGATGCTTTTAATCTAAAATAGAGAGAGAGAGAGAGAAAGTAAACCTTCCGGGTTCCCATGCACCATGATCCTCCAAGGGTTTTCCAGTGAAAGTCCCTTCTCGCACCCGTGGCGGATTCGCGTGACATGTCCCTTTCTTTTCCTCGCGGGGTGTGTAGGGGAGGAGCAGCTCACCCCAGCAGCTCATTGAGCGCTTTTGCGAGATCTGTCGCAGCTGGGCGAAATTGAGGTGTTCAGAACCGGAGTCGTGGGTTTTCACTGAATCATGTTTTTCCAACCCCTCCGTGCGGCTGTATGAGTGCTTCACTTTCTGATCCGTTTTCGGTGATGCGACAGAAGGGGTGCTATCGATCTCTGTTTTCGGCGCAAAAAAAGGAGGCGCTGCGGCAGTCTCAGCAACTTGAATGTTTTTGGGCGCCAGAACCCGAGGCAGATGCAATTCTGCATGCCCCGAGGTGGAGGCGACGATCGAGGAATTGATGCAGCTGGCTGAGCGCGGGATTTCACACTCATGACAAGGAAAAAACGATCCTGCGAAGAAGGGTAGCTCAGAAGCATCTGTAAGTCCTGAATAGGATAAGTACTCTGTGAAAATGCAAGTTTGGCACTTGACTATTGTATTGGACGGCTTTTCTGGTGGCACCTCTAGAAAGCTTCATCACAATGCTTTTTTCATGGTTTACAGTCATGAGGGCACCTACAAGTAGGGCACTGAATATACAGACCCCCAAATAGATAGAAAGGTAGATCACCACAGAAAATGTCTTGGAAACCGTGGCCACAGTCATCTATTTGTCTATCACGGATCAAGCACGATCTTTCTTTCTTGGCCTCTAGGGTCTGCAGAGCATGACCTGCAGCAGAGCAAGCTGCACCAGCTGCCTTTTCGCACCGGAGAACATCGATAGGCCGCCGGCACGCCGCAAAGGGATGGAGGCGCACGCTCTGTCCCTTGAGGCTCCCAAAAGAGATGTTTGGCAGAAAAAATGGTTTTGCTGCCTCACATCTGGCCTCTTGAGGCTATGGTCTCCCTTTTGCCATCGATTTTTACCACGTCTTTCTGTAGAATATCCTGCCAGTCTGATTGTAAAAAGACCAAACTTGTTGGACAAACAGCATAAACGCCCCTGCACCCAGTGTTGGCGGCCACTGGCATTGGAAAATCTCCGGCACCACTGGCGCATCATCCCAATCGACCAGAGCAGGTGTCGGTCAGGACATGCCTTGCTAGCTCTTGGGCTTGTTGGGATGGATGGGGATATCAAGATCAGACGTGTCCAGGCACAAAGACAAAAACACAAAGACCAAAAACACAAAGAAACCCCTTTCCGCGCCACATCAAATTCAGATCTCAACATCTCTTACAATCTGGCAGGATTTGTCCGAATTCCCCAATTCCCAGCTCTTGGCTTTGCGACTGCATCCTTGAGTAAACCCCTTTCCAGGTCCACCACTCCACCCCAACCCATCGCCCGTGCATCACCCGTCGCCCACCTGAGCCGCGAAGCGACCCGCCGTCCGGAGTGGGGGAAATCCGGCTGACCGGGACCGACAAAGCCAGCTGTCCGGGAGGACTTGATGTACTTTGATACTCAGTACCAGGACCTACCACCTGTTGGAAGGTGCTTGATGTACTTTGATGTACTTTGATGTACTTTGATGTACTTGGTATTTCCAGGATTCAATCCAGCCAAGAGCTCAAAAAGCTGGCACCCAGATTGAAACGAACCAAAACCTCCTTCTCCCACTTCTAGAGTTGGACCCCGTCCAGAAGAAACTAGGCTTTTCTGGTGCAAGCGAGCGGGCTTTGATAGGTTCTTCACTGGTACAAATGTTTGATGGCTCCGTCTTTCCCAGGTGAGAAAAGAACTTCAAACCTCCATGGTCAGTGAAAAGTGACGGGTTCTGACCGTTCCAAAAAATGAAGGATGTTCCTCAGGAATCCCGAAGGAAATGACCTGCCGACGCCGATCCAAATCCGGTGACTCCAGTGTCTAACACACACAAGGTGGGCGCGTTCTTCAACGAAAGAGCGGACAGTGAGGCTCATCTTCCCGAGCGAACGAGTCAATGATGAACGAAGTAAGTGTGGAACATTCCCCCAATATATAACCTACATAAGTAAATGATAGTAAATGTATCACCCATATAATTATTAATAAGAACCTAGGTTATTTACAGTACAAAATGTATAAGCCGTATAATTTTGGGAGTTGCTCATTCAAAACCACAGGGACTCGTGGTTTTTGGAGTCGCTGTGTCTCCGGTCTCGGAGGGATTGGGTCCGAACATCGAGGATCAGCACCGAGCCCAACAGGTCTCCGAGTCATGGAGGGTTTGGTGTTAGGCCCTTCCAACAGGTTTCAATGGGTGACCTGCGAAGTCAGGTGGTAGATACTTCTTGGGTCGGCCTCCGAACTCGGTGCCGGTCTCGAAGGTGTTGAGATCGGAGACCTTCAAATGGGTGGAACGGAGCGTCCCATCCAACGACAGGACGGCGCAACAACTCCTCGATCGACTCCCAGCGCTGCGGTTGGGCCGAACACGACCCAGCTCTGGCTGTTCGAAGCATCAAAAATACAAAATGAAGAAGAAAAACAAACAGCGCTGCGCTGTCACTTTGCAGGTCTAGCCAGTCTAGCCTGACCACTTCTAGAAGTGACAGAAGGCAAACCATCAAAAAACAACAGAAAAACCGCTCACGTTCCACCTATTGGATTTGAGTGCAACTCCCACTTCTCCTCCCAAAAAAGAGAAGGCTCACCAGCAGTTGATCCACAAGGCCTTCGGGTGAACCCGAAGCCGAACCCGAAAATCCTGAACCTTCTCCTCTCCCACGGCACCTCAAACTGGACTGCTCGTGGGACTCGTTCTTTGACCTGGGCGTGAGAACTACCGCGCGGCCCCGATCGGGTGGAGATCGGGCTCCGATCGGACTCCAAGCCTTGTGTGTACAGCTCCAGACAGCAAATGGATCGTTTCTTGAACACACGAGCTCGCTCTGGACATAGAGCGGAAGGGCTGTCCTACTCCGTCCTAGCGAGTCGCTAGTAGAACACAACCAGAAGACCCGGTAGGTGGACCCGAAGGAGAACTACCGCGGGGCCTTGGGTCTTCGCACCGACTTGCAGCGCTTTGGGTCTTCGCCAACAACAAAAAGGCAAAGCCTCGCATATGGGGAGTGTTTGTGTGTATGTGTATATGTATATATATATATATATTATACCATCCTCCCCAAAGATCTTTGGAGTCACCATGCTGTTCCAAAAACTTCTACAGACCATCCTGAGAGGAGCAATCCAATTCCCATAATAAAAAAAAAACACACCATCATCTCCTTTCAGGGATGTCGCAAGGTGTTTGGGGGTTCTTTGGGCCGGCGTGTCCTGGATGTCACACCACCATGAGGCATCAAGGACCCTCGTCAAGGCAAAGATTCCATGCCCAATCAACTGGAGGGTTCAATCCAACTCAAGAACCTTGAATATCTTCAATCCTTGTAAAGAATCCCTTATGTCCTTGAAAATAAGAGATGTCTCCCTATGTTCACACACCGCCAACTCTTGGATTCCTTTTGTAGCTCGCTTCGGCTCTCGCTTTGGCCCCCGGTGCCCGGGTCTCCTCGATCCACCAAGCTGCTGGGGCCACTCGGACTCGGCCGGATCTGAAGATCGCCTGGGAGAGAGGTCCGGGCACTGCCTTTGATGCGTCCGGTGCGACGTTTGGCACTGGGGGCTCTTGGACTGGTCATAAGGGGGTCTGGTGCGACCCTGCCCTCTGAGCACCAGTTTTGGGCAGCTCGTAGCTCCTTCTTAGCACCCCACCGGCCTTCAAGTCGGCTCGGCACATCGAGCCGAACCACCCACCCAGCCAAGCAACTGGGTGCATACCTCGAGGTTTTGGTACAAGACAAACACACTAGGAGTCACATGGAGTTGGGTGGTGTGGCTCGTCCCCTTGCGTGAGTGGATGGGCACCACTCACCTCCGATAGCACCCCGTCGAACATGACTCCTGGTATGATCGAGCTTCGTGAGAGGCGGGTGTAGCACCCTCGTGCATCCGCGGTCGACTAAGACCGGACCCTTTCGCTGGAAGAGGTCCCACGCTTCGTCGGTGAAAGAGTTTGGAAACGGAAAAACACATCCGGGTGCAATGTAATGCCCGTTCAAAGGGCAGCAAAAACATACCAAATCAAAACATGTCCAAGTGGCTGGTTTCTGGTTGTGTCATGTTTACAAACAAGAAACA